ATTTGTACATTTTTCAAAGTCTAGGAAAGAAGTAGTAGGGTTTCTCAGGCCTAGTACAGTTTAGGTAGAGCAGCTTGCATTGCACACAGGTGACATAGGATTGATCCCTGGCACCCCATATGGTCCCTGGAACACTGCCAAGGGTTCCTGAGTGCAAAGCCAGGAATAAGTGCTGAGCACTGCTGGGTGTGACCAAAAAGCTAACAATAAAAAATAAAAAAAAATTTACAGGGTTTTTGAGAAACATACTAGGTGGTTCTGGAAAAAGGTAAGCATTATAGGATTATAAGTAAATTTATAGTATGCAGTAAACTTAAGAAATTGTGGATGGGGTTTGGGAGCGGGTGTGACTAGTGAAAGAGGTAAGAGAGCACTGAGCATAGAGCAATTTAGGTGAGGGTAGAAGAGGAAGTGTGTTGATTTGACTTATATTTTTATTTTCTTTCTTTTTTTCTTCCCTTCCTTTTCCATTTCTTTTCCTTTATCCTTCCTTCCTCTCCCTCTCCATTCCATTCTGTCCCATTCCCTTCCTTTCTTTATAAAGCTGGCCTTACCATTTTAATGTGGATAAATTTTGTCAATAGAAAAAATAAAAAAGAATTTGTCAGTGGATTGTGGTATGTAAAGGAGGTTGTTTTGTTGTTGTTGTTGTTGCTGTTATTGTTACAAATGAAGGAATTGTGATTTATTGAGACAGTTGAGAAGGAAATATTTGATTTGAAGGATCTGGGAGGAGTCATCTGAAGTTAAAACAGTAAACTATTCTAGCTAGATATCTCTACTAGATCTAAACTAGGCCTTGTGTTTATTAGTTTTAAATAAATCTGAATTAATAAATCCCTGAAAATAATCATGCTGATCAGATAGTGTGTTCAAGTGTTTTATAGCTATAGATTTTATATGTGAAAGTGCAATTATGTATTTTGAGTGATGATTTAAATTTATTTATGGCTAATATAAAATATGATTTTTCATTATACTGTTTTTTATTTGGTTTTCTTCACATAGAATGTTATGTCAAACTGCTTTATAAAGTTTTTTAAATTGATGGACTCATTTCTTACCTTCTTTGACTTGTGGAATTTTAGCCAACTATTTGATTCTTAGAGGATTATCTTCTTTCATGACTCCATATACTTTCCTCTGCTTGACATGTCAATTATTTCTTATCATTTCCTACAAGTGCCTCTCTTTTTTCCAAAGTCAATTCCTTTCCTTTCTGTAAAACATTTTTTTAATTCTTAGAAGTGTTTATCTTGCTATGAGCTTCCATAGTAGCAACTTCATACTCATCAGAGAAATCATCAAACTATTACGAATTTTGTGTATACCTCTCTGTCCTTTGGGGACACAGTCATTATGAGTAAAACCTGGTCTTAATCATCTTTACACACTTAACATTTAACTGAATTACTTCATGACTGTCTGTTGTTGACAACATAAATCCTTTTTGAACACAAGAGCATTTAAGTCCTGCAGATTAACATTTTAAAATTTACATAGTGAGACTGAAAAATTAATCTTGTCACTCTTGTGAGTCTTTTCTAAAGTTCAGTGTAGGGTTATAGGATGTGGCTTAGCAGCAACATGCATGCATGAAGCCTAGGTTTGATTCCCCAGCACCACAAGGAAATTTAAAAAATAACTTTTTTAAAAAAGTATAATGTATTTTGGGGCTGGAGCGATAGCACAGCGGGTAAGGCGTTTGCCTTGCAAGTGGCCAATATGGCCAACCCGAGTTCGATTCCTCCGCCCCTCTCAGAGAGCCCGGCAAGTTACCGAAAGTATCTCGCCAGTGCGGCAGAGCCTGGCAAGCTACCTGTGACATATTCGATATGCCAAACACAGTAACAACAAGTCTCACAATGGAGACGTTACTGGGCCCACTGGAGCAAATCGATGAACAACGGGAGGACTGTGACCATGATAATGTATTTTTGGAGGCAGGAGAGATAGTCTAGTGGGCAGGGCGCTTGCCTTGCTCATGGCCAACTGGAGTCCACTCCCAGGATCCCTTATAGTCCTGTGGGCCTCATCAGGAGTGATCCCTGAGTGCAGAGCCAGGAATAAGCCCTGAGCACAGCCAGGTAAGACCCCAAAACCAAAACTAAACCCCCAAAGAGCAACAAGTTCAATGTATCTTTCAAATTTTGTACTGAAAATTTAAGAGCTGATTACTTTCAAAACAGTGTGCAGTGTAAGAAAGCTAAGTTTGTTTTTCACAGTACCAACTATATAAATGTGTTTAGTTTGTAAAACCTTAAATTCTGAAAATACTGAACAGCTAAATGTTACTTTTTTTTTTTTTTTGGCGTCACACCTGGTGATGCTCAGGGGTTACTCCTGGCTCTGCACTCAGGAAATACTCCTGGCATTGCTCAGGGAACCTTATGGGATGCTGGGAATGAAACCCGGGTCAGCCGTGTGCAAGGCAAATGTCCTACCTGCTCTGCTGTCGCTCCAACCCCAAATGTTATATACTTTTTTAAAGACCCCTTAACAAGTTTTCTTTGGTTTTTCTCTTTATCTGGGCTGGAGCGATAGCACAGTGGGTAGGGAGTTTGCCTTGCACGCAGCCAACATGGCCTACCCGAGTTCGATTCTCCCTCTGGGAGAGCCCAGCAAGCTACCGAGAGTATCTCTCGTCCACAAGGCAAAGCCTGGCAAGCTACCTGTGATGTATTTGATATGCCAAAGACAGTAACAAGTCTCACAATGTTACTGGGCCCACTCGAGCAAATGGATGAACAACGGGAGGACAGTGACAGTTTCTCTTTACCTAGTTCATGATGAGAAGGCAAGATAAAATTTTATATTTTTTTTGAATATAAAATTATAACATTTCTTTTTCTAAAAGTTATTAATCTTTTGTAAAGGTAACTTTTAAAAGCTCTACTATTTCTAACAGTGGTAGGGTGTTTGCCTTGCATGCTGCCGGCTGGCCGACCCACCTGGGTTGGATTCCTCCACCCCTCTCGGAGAGATAGGCAGTCTACTGAGAGTATCTCTCCCACATGGCAAAGCCTGGCAAGCTACCCTTGACGTATTCAATATGCCAAACACAGTAACAACAAATCTCACAATGGAGACGTTACTGGGCCTGCTTGAGCAAATTGATGAACAATGGGAGGACAGTGCTGCAGATATGTATATGCCATTACTTATACTTATTCAATCAAGTCATTGAATTGACTTGTAAAAACTTTTAAGATACCTCTAACTTCTATTTTTAGAAATAAATTTAAATGACATCACTGTAAGATAAACAGTTGCAAAGTTGTCCATAATTGGGTTTCAGTCATACAGTTTTCCAACACCCATCCGTTGACCAGTGTACATTTCCCACCATCAATGTTCCCAGTTCCCATCTTTCTACCCCTCACCCCCATCTACCTGAGGTTCATGTACATCATTTTAAGTACTTTCAGTACTCAGTTCTAGTCCAGAGTGATCATTTTCAATTGTCATTGTCACAGTGGCCCCTTCTCTATCCTAAGTGCCCCCCCCACCACACCCCTTGTAACAAGCTTGCAACCATGTGCCAGTCATCAGGGCCCTCATTTCTAATTTCCTTGGGTAATAGTCTCATACTGTGCTTTTTATATCCCACAACTGAGTGCAATCATTCTGTCTGTCCCTAACCTCCTGACTCATTACACCACTCAGCACAATACTCTCCATGCCAATTCATTTATAAGCAAATTTCATAACTTCATTATTCCTGGTGACTGCATAGTATTTTATTGCGTAGATGTACCATGACTTCTTTATCCAGTCATCTATTCTCGGGCACTTGGATTATTCCAGATTTTGGCGATTGTGAATAGAGTTGTAATGAACAAAGAAGTGCAGATTGCATTTCTGCTGTGTTTTTTGGGGCCCTTAGGGTATATTCCCAGAAATGATATTGTGGGGTCATATGAAAGCTCAGTTTCTAGTTTTCTGAGGACTGCCCCTATACTTTTCTGAGAAGGCTGGCAAGTTGGCATTCCCAACAACAATAAATGAAAGTCCATTTCTCCCCACATGAATGCCAGCACTTCTTGTTCTTGTTCTTTTTTAATGTGTGGCAGTCTCTGTGGTATGAGATGATATCTCATTGTTGTTTTGATTTGCATCTCCCTGAATATTAACTATGTAGAGAATATTTTTATGTGCCTTTTGGCCCTTTGTAATTCTTCTTTGAAGAAATTTCTGTTCTCCCCATTTTTTGTTGGTGTTGGATTTTTTTTCTTGCAAAGTTCTGTCAGTGCCTTATATATCTTTGATATTAAGTCCTTACCAGATGGGTCTTGTGGGCTGTCTTTGTATCATGGTCACTGTTTCTTTTGAGATGCAGAAACTTCTGAGCTTAATGCAGACCCATTTATTTATCTTTGCTTACACTTGCTTTGTCAGTGGTATTTCATTTTTGAAGATACCTTAGCTTCAATTAATGGGGTTTTGCCTACATTTTCTTCCATGAACCTTACGGATTCAGGAAATCTATACTTTTTTAATAGTTCATGTATGAATTGTCCTAATTAAGTAGCATTAGACATGTTTATTAGAATAATTATTTGTAACATTTCTTATTTAAGAAAAATGTAATTTCTTATAGGAATTTTTAAATATAGGCAGATATAAAAAAAACTGCTACTGAGAGTAATAGGGGGAGAGTTACCCATGGAAATCTTTTGCATGTACTGTATTGCGAAACACTTGTGTTAGAGGGATTTTGAAGGATAGCTATGGTTTCAGCTGGGTTTTTTTGTTTGTTTGTTTGTTTTTTATTACCAAGGAATGTAGACATTGTTGAAATCAAATAACTTATCTGATTAAGAAGAATATTCCATCATCTGTCATAAAATAACAGTTAACTTTTTAGTACCTTTTCTTATTGTAAAAAATATATAATATGCACATGCATGCATACATATATTTTGTGTTTTAAAAAGCTTATTATAATATGTTACTTTAAAAATACACATTTTTACTTTCTGTGTTTCTTTTAATTTTAGGAGAAAACCAAAAGCCAAGGCTCCACTCCCTCCAGCTGACAGCAAATGCACAAATGCCTCTGTGGTTGATGATTCTGTAGAGTCCTCTGCTTTCATCATGGAACAGAAAGAAAATTTGATAGATAAAGACATTGAGCTCTCAGTCATTCTGCCTGGGGATATTATCAAATCTGCTACTGTTCATGGCAGGTATGATGGAATGGAGAAAATTCCAGGGCTTCTGTGTCTACTTCTGTCATTGAAGCCCTCTGTATATATATCTTTAATACATTTTTTTTCTTTGACAAAATACTACATTGATCACTGACTTCAGTTATCTTACAAAAAAAAAATTTTTTTTTAAGTACTAAAAGTTTTCTAACAGTTGTTTGCTGCTGTTGTTTTGGGCTACATGTGACTCTGCTTTCAGGCTACCCCACCGGCTCAGGTGACATTGAGGATTAAGCCCAGCCTCCCACTAGCAGGCCATGTGTTCTGGCCCTCTGATTTATCTCTCCAGTTCCTTTCATGGTGTTATATGAGTTATATGAGTATTACAGATTCCACAACCCCAGCAGATTGCTCTGGAAATTTTGATCTATTTTACATTCTGTTATCCATTTATTTAGTTAATTAGTTCTAGTTTGGGAACCAAATTCAGCTGTGCTCAGGGCTTACTGCTGGCTCTGTGCTCAGGGATCATTTCTGGCAGGGATTTAGGAACCATATGGGGTGCCAGGGATGGAACTTGCGTTGGCCATGTGCAAGGCAGAGCCCTACACATTGTAATAGTATCTCTTTGGTTTCAATTGTCCCTTATTTACTAAGTTGGAAGGGAAGGGCTGCCTGCCCTTGGGGATCTGTAGTGCAGTAGGGAGACAGGGAGGACTGGCCCCAGGGTTCCCACATGCACCGCATGTGTTCCAGCCCTTTAGTCCATCTCCATGGCCCATAAGATACATTTAAAAATAGGCTTTCCCAGAAGAATGATAAGCAGAATATTAATTTTGTAAGTCAGACTTCCAAAACAAACTGTGACCAATAAGAAAATACTTTCCTTTCCTCTCCAAATTATTCTTTAACTTATAAACTCCATTCCTAAAGTTAATTTTGCTCAAGTTATTAACTATTCTTAAAATGCTGTTCTCCTGTTTATCAAAACATAGAAAAACCTATGTCTAAAGTTAGCAAAACTTTACTTCTTTGAGTGACTCAATTTACTAAAAATGTGAGTGCATTCTAAATATAAATGTAAAATTAAACTTTAACCCAGCAAGAAATGAATGTATAATTTTTAAGAAACTGATCATTTTAATACTTGTATAGAAATTGGGAAAATGGGATAAAGCCAAGTGTAATTTTCCATTTATTTTTAAGTGGAAAATTACATGAATTGTATGTTTGAGTTTGTTTCACCTTCTGCCCATTTGTTGTCGGGAAACCTATTTTAGAAATTTAAGCTGTATTATTCTTACTATAGTAGGTATGTGTTTAGAACAAAGGAATGAGTAAGCAACATTTTGGGTATTGTATTCTTGTAAGGCAGTTTTATCTAGAAATTCAAAATTAATTTAAGAATGATCAGGATAATGTATTTTTTTACAAATTATTAGTAACATGAAAATAGAAAAGTTTATCATTAGCAACAGTATTATATGTTAAATTCACATTAAACTTAAGTAGAGTGCATTTGTCTGTATGACTTAAAAGCTGTGGAGGCACGTTACAATATTTAGGAGGCAGAGAAACCTGCAACTGTCCTTATGGGGCCTCTACCTTAGACAGAGATAATCACCAGGGTTGCACCTCTTTTGAGTGAAGTTGGTATTTTCAAAGTTGGAGTTAGTGACCTTTATTTTCAGTCCTTGAATTGCTACCATTGACTTGTTTTTTAAAGTGGTAATGCTAATGGGTGTAGCTGGGGATAATAAAGGTGATTCATTCCCCTGTTTTGTTTTTTTCCCCTGAATTCAAAACTGTATTTAAAAATAAAATTGGGGTTGGAGCAACAGTACAGCACATAAGGTGTTTGCCTTGCACATAGCCAACCTGGGTTCGATCCCAACATCTAATATAGTCCCCCAAGCACCATCAGAAGTAATTTCTGAGTGTAGAGCCAGGAATAAACCCTGAGCATTGTTGGTATGGCCCAAAAACCAAAAAGAAGAAAAAAGAAAACTAAAATATATTGTCATTTTTCCTTGATTTTCAGTGATGCTGACAAAGCCCCATCTATAACTAACTCCTCACACTTTCTTTTCTTAAACCTTCCATCCATCTGTTTATATCGCTCTCTTCTCTGCTGTCTGATTAAAAAGGATATTTAATATTCAGTCTTCTGGGTTCTTTGCATTATTATTATTTTTTTAACCTTGATGACTTCAGTATTGAATCATTGGCTTTTCTGTTTGTCCATCACCTATCCTGTCACCCATCACCATTTTAGACTTTGCCCCCACTTTCTGCCCTTAACTAACTCTTTTCTTGAAGGAACCACCACTGTTCATTTTCTGTTTCAGTCAGAATGATGTTATTGCCTCTCTTCAGCTTGTGCTAAAATCTCAGGTTCCCTTTTGGAACACAACCTTTTTAACATTTAGCTTGCCCACTTTCATTTTTTGAATTTTATTTGTTCTTTATCCTCATTTCTGAGCCTAATTTTTGATTGTTCTTCAGGGTGCTCTAATTGTGTTCAGATTTGTGTTCACATTTCACTTCTGCACCAATCATTTCTGCTGCATTTGTTGGCATAAGGACCTGCGTTTTTCTCACTTTCTTTAACCTTTTACTATATTTACCTTCCAGACACATAAACCTGTGTAATTTTCCATCAATCAGCTTTAAAAAAAGAATCTGGGCTGACAACTGTTGTTGAATTTCTTCAGTTTTCTTATCTATAAAAATGTTTTATAACAGAATTGTTATTGGGATTAAATGAAATATTATCAGGGCCTGGCACATATTGTCCTCCTCCATTTCCTATTGCAAACTGCTTTCCTTAACCCTGGGCTCCCCATTTATCCTGTACTCGCTGATTAATCAGGCTAAAATACCCTCTTTATTAGGCACTACCTTTGATAAAAGACGACAGCAGCAATTCAATACCAGTTGAAGGAAGTCCAAACTCCCAAGCCTTCAGACTGGGACACCTTGTTTTCTTCTCTGAAATTAAGTAGGCTTTTCCTTTACTGCCTCTGTATATTTTAAGCCTCAGCCGCATGACGCTTAGTTGTACATCAGATACTTAACTTTTTGCAACTCATGTCCTAACTTCCCACCGTTTCTTCATTTAATTTAGTTAGCTCAGGTGACAATTTGGGGGGAAGGTGTGGTTTTGAGCCCACGCCTTGTGGTGTTCAGGGGCCACTTCTGGTTCCTTGCTCAGAAGTGATCCCTAGTGGCATAAATGGTGCTGTGTTGGTCGGATGCAAGGCAAGCACCTTAACCTCTGTGCTATTTATCTCTTTCTGACTTTTTTTTTATGGAAAGACTCAACAGTATTCCTAGATTTAGCAATACCTCTTTGAATGCTACTAACACTTTATACCATTGATGGTTATCATATATTTTCCTGTGTTATTATTTGTGTGTAGATCTTACTTTCTTGACTAAGCAATAAGATACCTGAAGCAATCATTGATTTCTTTTGTAGCACTTGCCTTGGCTTCTTATAATAGACATTTAATAATTTAATTAACATAGACATTCAATAAATTAATTAATGTCAAAGTCGGTTTTCTAAACCCTTATATAAGGGAGTTTTATGTCAGGGCCTTAAATGTAAGAACTAGCAAATTAAACAGTGTTCTTGAAATAGGCATTTGGGTCAAACTTGGTTGCTTTGGGATCTTTTGTTTTTCTTAATCTTTATTGCATTTGGGATGAGGTTATACCCTGTAGTGTTTAGGGGGCTACCCCCTGCAGATATCACCAAAAGTCCTGTGGTGTCTGGGATCAAACCTGGAGCTCCTGTATTCACAGCATGCTCTCCAGATATCTGAACCATCTCTCTGGCCCCAAGATATTTTAACTAAAGATCCTTTCCAGGTAGAAAGAAAGGTAAGAACGCCCAGAATGAGAAGGCCCTAAATTCTTATAGCTTTAAATATTTTTGTTTAGAGCTGAAAAATTTTTCTGAGTACAGAATTTCTTTTTTAATGTCAGTGTTTTTGCTGACTTAATTTAGGGAATTTATTCCTAATAGTTTCATTGTATAGACTAACTCAGGTTGTAGACCCTATGATCAGTTTTTTATACTGTTTATGATTAAAAATGGTTAGGTGATTCTGAATATCTTAGGAGTCTGTTTCTAAGTATCTTGAGAGTGATTCTATATATTTTGAGTGCCACTCAGGATAACTTAAGAGTGTGATTAGGGGTATTGTGAATGTTGCCACTACTGCTTGTGCTTTACTTAAAAATAACCATAGGGCCAGAGAGAAAGCACAGAGGGTTGGGCACTTGACTTGCTTGCTGTTGACCCTTGTTCTGCCCTTGACATCCCTTATGGTCCCCTGGGCACCACCAGGAGTGATTCATGAGTGCAGAGCCAGGAGTAACTCCTGAGAATTACTGGGTGTGGCCACAGGAGTAACTCCTGAGAATTACTGGGTGTGGCCAACCCCCCAAAAAAGCAAAAAATAAATGATAATAAAATATTATCATAAAGTTTGTCAATACTAAGAACAAAAAGAAATGTTTCAATTGAAAAAATACACTTTCTGAAAAACGTGATTGCTCGAGGTGACTTGTTATGACATATGACATGAAATAAAATGCTCTTGTTGCAATGAAGGAACTAGAAAATTCTCAACAGAATCTTATCAAAGAGACTGGGAAAGAGTAATTAAATGATTTTAAGTATATCCGTTTTTTTAGATAAAGCATACTTCAGTGTTACTGTAAAGGGTCTCTACTATAACTTCTTGAGATATATTTTGTAATTCATCTGAATATTTCTACCTTACATTGATTTTGCTTGCATTATTTATATACAGTTTAAAAAACTAGTAATATCAATATTTAGACCAAAGTTAATATTTAGCAAATATATTCTTCTTTTCACTTTGAAAAACATTTGTCTTCAAACATATATTTGGGGAAGATTTTGAGAGCATTCCTTCTGTCATCTTTCACAATACAGGCAGAGGTATGCTCAGAATGTTCCATTTGTGAGAATGTGAACGGACAGCATTATCTTCAGAAGAATG